CGAGGAAACTACGAGATCGGTCGATCGTTCCGCGATTGTTTCGCGAACAAAAGATATTGGAGACATTATGCTCCGTGTTTTAAGTCCCGAGAGAGTTTCTGTCTGCAACAGAGTGCCAACTCTTTCGGGCGACACGTCTGACATTCTGCGAATCGTTTTGAGCTTACCAACGCACTGTGTGGTAGTTTTCCAATGCAGTTAACTTTCAAAAACAAAGTTGATATATATATCAATCATCCGTGACCTAGAATGACCTTGAATAATTATAGTAACTGAATTGCAAATGAAAGGGATTGTTATTGTAGGTGTTTAAAAAATGTGATTAATGTAATTTTACAGAACATCTCGACATGACAGTCCTCTTCAGAAGTTACTCACGTAACTCAATCCTTGCAAAAATATTTCTGTAAAAATTTCACAAATGAATATTCAATTTCTTCAGTCCTAGGGTTTTCGAACTCGTTGTTACAGCACGGGTATCCCTACTGAAACATCAAGTTAACTGACGATAGACTTGCCGCAGTCAATGATCGCATTGACGTAAATGATCGAATAATCATGTCCACTGCTCTCTATAGTCGCGTTGTTAATCGCGAGTAGTGTCCTTATAAAGAGGGAATAATATTTTCCATAAGTAATCACGACTTCTTCACTCCATAGTTAAAAAAACTAATTTACTTAACTATAAATCTTTGTCAGAAGCAAAAAGATAAAAACAATGTCTTAATGTATAAGAAAGTTTTTCTGTCCTTGAAGTCGGGACTATTTTATAACTCCCTTTTAATCTGAAAATAAATTCGAGCAGCCATCTGTATACAATTTTAATAATTGATCATTTGTCCGCTATTAGGGGTATAAGTTTTCAGCGAAGTTTCGCAGGAAACGCGGCTACTCCTTTAAATCCGACAAACTTTTGTCCTGACAGGACCGAATTAATTCCGAGTCGACAAAAAGACGGGCCTTGTACTTCGAAATTTCAGGGCATATTCCTCCCCTTGGAACCGCACCACGTTCGGTAAATATCGTCGGTTCTTTGGCTCGTTTTGCGAATTAAATCGAGAGAGCCCCTGAATGCCATCATTTCGAGGCCTGTATAGTAGAGTTAAATTGGGTCACCTGAATATTTCTTTTATTTGAACAAAACGTGTGTGTAATGGACAATCTACTGGACTAAGTTATTAATTAATTATGAGGTTAATAATATTTCTAGTTAAAAAAATATTTCAAATAAAGACTTAAACATGGATCAGTCGTGAAAGTGATCATCAGGGATCAACAAAGAGAAGTTAGGTCTTGTGAGGTATTTTGTCAATGAACACTGAATTTCGTAAAAAATGATCGACAGGTTCAGAAATTAAAACTGACATCGAAATCAGACAGGTTGGACCCTTCAAATGCTTTCTTTCAGAGGTCGAAGGGTGGAAGATCTTATCTTGCAAATATCTTTGCAATCGGATCTTCGACTCTGTCATCTCCTGCCACGGTGAAATTCGATTGGAAATTTTCTAGACGATTGAGCGACTGACTGAAAATGATTCCACGCGACCGCACGACGTTGGAAATATTGTTGACCCTGCAGAGACGTTCGAACTAGAGTTCAAGTTCAAGGGACGGGGTGAGGACTTTCATGATCGCCTCCAACCCCCGATCCGGCGACACTAAACACTCACCATAATTCGTTAAATTATCGAAAGTTTGTAAAGCATTTCTAATATATTATTTTTAAAGTTATACATAAACCAGAAATACTGACGTGCATTCAGATTTTTATACACTATTTTATAAAAGCAAAAATTAAACATACATCTATTTCCTGTGTTCCTGTTTTATCAAAGTTCTTTTACTGCATTTTAACCTGTTGCATCAACCTTAAATAAAATTCTGGAGTTTTTATTTAGGAATAATTATTACCCGTGTTTCTTTATAGAAAAACAAATAACAATTGTGAATAATAATGTCAGTACATTTTAATCTTCACTCTTTTTACAAAAAAAAAAACAAAACTATTTTCAAATTGTTTTCTAAATTTTTCTCAAAATTGCATTGTGTTATATTGTTACCGTTCCAGTTGTTTTAAGCGAAGATTCGACCGTTGTTTCCGATAATATCTTGTTTTAGCTACAAAATATCACGTTTTCAAACCAATCTCACGCAATCGTTTTTCGATACCGTTGATGCATTTTTATCATTTCGTAAATACAAATGGTCGAACTAACCACAGTTTTCCGTAATGTTTTATTTCACCGATGTCAAACCACACATTCAAGTTCACTTTACGTTCGTACAACAGAACGAAATAGAGACAGTTCAACGTTCATTTCAACGTGGAACAGAATAATTGACGATTTTGCGGTTCTCCGAGAAGTAGTTTCAATACTGACGAATATTAAACGAGAATCCGCGAGTGGTTGTTATAAATTGCTATAAAAATTTTGACGCCACACAAACTAGGTAAATCTTCAAAGTTAGTTCTCTTAAAAACTAAGCAAAACATATTAAATTTTTACTCTACATTTATTGTGCGATTTTGCACGTAGAATTACATTCCATATGGTTTTGACCATTTACATATTCTGCCACAATCCTCTATAACGTTACAAATTTGTGTAACAGATATATAAATAATACTAAAAAACATGCATAGTACTGTATCATACATAAAAGTTGCACATGATAATTCTGACTGCTTGTTAGGCATTGTAACATTGACAAATAAGTTAAGAGTTTTAAGATCATTAATAAGTTCTAATCTTATTTGTTACTTCAACAGTATTAGTGTTCCAAAGTGTACTATTTTCGACACGTCAATCAGAATTTCTTCAAATTATATCTACTACACACGTATTTGAATTTTATCGACCTGCCTTGATCGTTTACATGTAATAAAACAAACTGACGCTTTAACTGCATTTTTATTCGTTCAATACGAAACGTTAACGATTCACTTTCATTATTTTCTCACGACCAACAACTCGAGGGTAAAAAAAAAAAATACAAGAATGGCCGTTTTTTCAGTGTGCCGGAGATTCCATAAAAGTGGCAACGATTGATGACAGGGAATAAAACTGTCCGTTCTCGACTTATACGTTCAAATATTGACATTCCTCAATGTCGTTTTCATTATTTAACGAACGGTCACAGTTTATTTATCGAGACCCGTAGATCTCCTCTCTGTCGTCGAACGCAAATAATTGAAACCATGAAAACCGTGTTTCTTTTCTCGCTCGACGGTTCCAGTTTTCAACTATTTCTGATCTCGTGTGCGACAGATCAACACAAAGCAGACATAAATTGAGCCTCGACTTCGTCGGATACAAAATCGCGAAAACTCGAAATCGATCGACTCTGTTAATGTTCTGCTATGTAAATTATGAAGCTCCCAGATCATAGCAAACAACGTGTACTGTTATTCTTCCTATTATAATATGCAACAATAATCGATAATAATAGCAGTAACAAATGACTACACTAAGCATAATACCAAGATCTGATTAAAAGTTTCGGGGACTTTAAGTATAAATCATTTATTATTAATGTTAACATTAATAACATAGGATCACCTTCAATGTAATTTCTTTCTGTTCTTTTGCACCTTTCAAATCCTTTTTTTCAGTTTTTCTTTCCAGAAACCGTTGTTTATTGTTAGTGGCTGAAAGGTATTCAAAATATGTAGCAGATGTGGAAAAGTCTAGGGACGATACAATTAGAAAGAAACGTGCATATAAAACGGTTAAGATAAAATTTATATATGACCGTTGCTCTTGGTTCCATAACGGAATATTACAATAAATTGTACGGCCCAACAACTTCAAGAGTATTGCTCGCAAGTATGTATTAGGACACTTATTGGCTATGAAGGGGATGTAATGAAGCATCAGGAAATTATGGAAGGTGTAAAAGAAATATTGTTTAGGGGGATATTAAGGTTCGATGAACAACGCTTATTCGATAATAAACGTGGCCTAAAGTACATAATACAGTAGTCTCCCGTATCCGAACTTATAGGAAGACATAAGTGTTCGGATAATAGAACAATCACTTTTTTGATACTAAATTTTATTTATTTGAATAGAGACCAAGAAAATTGACAGTTTGTTTAAAGATTTATGGATCCCGTTTCTTTTTGGCTGCTAAATTATAGAAACTTTTCAACATAAGTAACTGCGTAAAATTCGGTCGAACAGAAGAAATTCATACGTAACACTGTATGTGGACTCTCACGATATTGCCACGCAAGGAATTTCCCCCCCACGCGCACTTTTACGCACACAAATTCGATCTCCCACAAAGTTGCATACGATATTGCCACCAGCACGATTCACCTTTTTCGCAAACGCTGAAGCCGAGGCTCTGACGACAGAATTTCGCACGAAAAGGGCACTCGACTCATTGTAATTTTATTCCTCTACGGCCCCGCCCATGGCAATATCGTAAAAGTCTACTGTATTAGATATGTACAACAGAAGAATACATCTGTTACTGGGAGACACTCTTCTTCGGATAGTACAACCTTCGAGTATAAAAGAATATTCGGATAATGGGTGTTCGGATATGGGAGGTTCTACTATATTTACAAAACATCACGTTTTCTTCATACAGACCAAGTGCCCCCATACTTATGAGCAGTAGTATATAAATAAATAAAAAGATCACTTTCAACGTAATTTTACGTAATTATTCTCACGAATAATAATAAACAATTTACAAAAAGAGTCCCCAAACCTATCGATCAGACCTTGTATTCAGGCAGTGGATTTCGCGTCTTTCGAATGTACAGTAACGACTTGATGAGTGCGACGTACTCGGGTCCGTTTCACGAACATTCATGGCAAAACGGAAAGGTTTTCAGCCCCTCATAAATGTGTTTATACCTGAAGCTAAGCTTCTGTTTTTATTGATTCCACATACGAACTTCCACAGTGGTGGGAATAACGCCGTTGCTCGTGTCGCATTCATCGAGATATCACTGTAACAACTAACTACACGAGTAATGGTCTCACCTGGAAACCCTTTTTTATAGCCAGGTGGTAGGAATGCGGCCGGCGGTGTGATCGGCGGCGCGGCGTCCCAGCACGGCACGACATCCGGTTGCATCGTGTACCCCGTCGGAAGTTCGAGCACTTTCTGCTGCTTCTCGCAGCGTCTACGCCGGCGGCCGCCCGGCGTGAACGTTTTCACGGCCGCCAGGAAACCGACGCCACTCATCTCGTCCTTTTGGGATTTCGTGTTTACGTGGACACTCCGTGTGGAACGACCCGATGATGATGATCGAGGGAAGGAAGTTAGGGACAAGTTCCCAAGATGGCGAACGGGACGACCACTTCGACGACGCGTTCCCTGGATCACGATTCGTGTATTGTGGGCTTGCGATCAATCTAACCGATATAGGCGTGAGGCGACAGTGGTCTGTCGGGTGATATCCCGACTCACTGCCGGATGATTTCGATGATGTCTGAACGGTTCATGGTGGATGAATGGCGCCAGACTGGTGGGAACAGTCGAGAAACGAGTTATGGGAACTGCTGTGACGACCTCTTTGCGTCATTCTTTACTTGATCATTTAATTAATAAGGAATACGATTGTCCAATGAACAAATTTTGCTCATATTGTAATGAAAACTATTACTAGAATGACTAAGAATAATACTATCTTGACTAGGATTATTAATAATTTGGAAAAAATTTAGATGTATCGAGCGCAAAGGGTTAGAGAATGGATTAATTAAAAATATAATAATTTAGGAAGAAATGTTTGAAACGGTAACTGTGACTGATGTACGAATCTTTATGTAGTATAATAGAAAGCGAATATCGAAGGTAAAAGTGAATGAATATAGTGGTACCGATAATAGTGGTTTTTATAACGGTCGGAAGATTTTTATATTTTCACTTTCGCATTTTGTCAACTGAATTATCAGAGAAACTGCGAAACCAAAAACCTATTATCAAAAATTTTGTCTCATACTATAACTTAATTAACACTCGATTCAGAAAAATATATAAAGCGATTAATCAAGATTTATCAGAATATTTAATGTCTCTTGAAAATTTCTTTCAACGATTCTGTAAGGTTACAAAAAAGGAATTGTTTTATCACGTTTCACAAATTTCGTTCACTTTTACCTTGTTCAAAACGATCAAAAGACAACTCGCTAAAAGTGTTAACGTTGAACTTTTATGTTTGAGTGGTGCTTGAACTGAAAAAGATCTGGTAATTCGACGATTAATGAGAAACGTTTCAACGACAATGCTCCACAAAAGCGACTGGGTGTCCGTCTTGAATGGTTATTCTTTCGACAAGTTCTTTATTCAAGCCTGACAATCCAAGTTTATGATTTTAGCACCAGTTGCGTGCGAACGAGACAGAACGGGTCGACGGGAAACTTTTAATTAACAGCCGTTGATCCATCATTCACGATGTTCTCTCGGGATCGTATAAAACGGCTAAAAGGAACACGTGTTTTGATACATTGATCTCGGTGTACCGGAAATAAAATCGAAGAATCTCTGGAGAATACTTCTTTGCAATATTCTGTTCACTTGTGCGCCATTTTCATTACACATACAACTGAAAGTCTTTATGATTTCTCTACTCTAATTCGAAAACAAAAAATGTCTGTGTTTTGTTGTAAATTCTTTACATTTGAAGTTTTCCTTTCATGAATTAATTACATAATTTAAAATTGTAATCTTAATCTGGAGAATTATAAAGAATAGAATCAGATTCGTTTCAGTATAATAGAACAATTTGGAATATTATGGCGGAAGTCCACTGAATTGTTTATATTTTAAGATAAAGTTGGAGGTTCATATTGTTGTTTATGTCTATTTCGAATCTCCATTTGTGCGACTGTAGGAACCCGTTATAGTCTTATTACCAAAGAGGAAAATAACAAATACAACTAATCGTTAATATTTTTAATCTCGTAGCCACTAAAAAGAGTCACCTCATAAACAAATAAAACGAAAGAATATAATAATGTTTACACTATAAATTCATTCATCCCTTGTTTCTAACAAATTCAAAACTACCAAACAAATAACAAGAAAAATAATAAATAACCAAATTTATCCGAAAATCAACAAGTTCAATTTCCAATTAAAAAACTTTCAAACAATTTTCACAACACAGTATCTCGTATTATGACAATCTCTCCAATAAATATCCACACTAAATTTCTCTTTCAACCAAACAACTTTTCACACAAAATTCATTTAAATTCCATAATTCCCAAAAATCCCCCAACCAAATATTCATAATCACTAATTACGAACTAAAATGACCGTCTTCCATCCCCAAACTGTCCATTCAATTATTAATTAAAAAAAAAAAACGTTTCGCATTCAATCCACTAAAATCCAATTATTTACAAAAATTTTACACAACCAACAATCTCCAACACCCAGTTGCAAACCAATCAAAATCGAATCCCTCGAAGTATATTCCGAACCGTACCCAAAAAAAGTATTTCACACACGATTAAACAGCGACAAATACTTTCAAAAATTGAATGATCAACAGTTAAAGATTTCTCTGATCGATCGCTAAAATCGCGTCCATCCGTTCGGTCAAGACACAACACGCGTATCCCCTATCGGGTGTGAACACGCGGACAACCAGTCGCCGTATGCGTGCATCTGTGCGAGGGTGTCGGGTTGTCACCGGGTGACCTTGACAGATCCTGGACAGTTCGTAGGAGGTGGCGGCGAACCGGTGGCGGAAGCGCGAATCGATCACCAGTTGCGCGCGCGATGGACGACCTAGTGAAATAAATCCCACAGCTCAGCCGAAGATCGCCGAGCGGCGCGTACCGAGGGTTTACGGAGCCGCCCGTTGATCCCCCAGGGGGGCGCTGCGATGCGCGCGCAGCCTGGGAAATTACACTGGACCACAGTGCGCGAGCGAGATCGCGTCTCGAAGACGCGTGGGCGTACGGCAGCTGAAGACTGGCGAAGTGCCGGGGGGTTCGACCAGGGCTGGCTGGATCCCCTTGACTGGACGATTACGTTTGCTGTTTTATCACCCACGGGATTATTTATTTCTCACTTTGGAATTTTTTATCGGGGATGAGATGATTGGACCCGAACAGGAGTGCACGGCGCTGGTAGTATGTACGATGTATTAGTATGAACGTTCGGTTACGTTTAGGATGATCCTTTTTATTTTTGTTACTTTTTTGAGGCGAGTCTTGTTGGGTGGAGGATGTTAAAGTTTGATGTTTTTGGCGGAATGATTTTGCTTTTTTTTTGGACGGCTGGATTTAGATAACATAAACACAGTTTGGTATCTAGCCTTGTGTTTTGTAGATCTTTAGATTTGTCCTAATTGTATAGTGATAAGGATGGCTAACTTTGTAATATATAATATTTTATTATACATTGCTAGTGGTTCAGTTTGTTTGGAAAAAAAGAGAAATATTAATTGACCTTTTCTTTTATTTACTTAAGATGTGTAATTAAATGTGTCACGGTGAAATATAAATCAGATTTCGAAAGTTTAATTATTAAAAATTATGTTGCATCGAGGTGTACGTGAACTACGTAAATTTCAATGACTTTGGAGATAAGGCTCTCACGGTTATATGAATGCCAAGTGAATGTTTTTTAAATGGAACTAATTGATTATAATAAATAAGTATACACGTTTGCAACTTATTTCTTCAGAAATATAGTAACTATTAACGCGATCTGTTTATTGTTATATTAGATAAAAGGTATATTGTAACTTTATATTACATTTTGAAAGTATAATGATGTTGAATTTGGGGGTTGTAATTTCGCAGAAATCCTTTTACAGTTATTAACTATCGAATATATTTATTTTTATTATTATAACTAATACGTTATTTTTATTTAATAATCCAGCAGAGCATTATTATTTTCATTATATGACTTAAATACCTGGAATTAAATACAGAAACCAAAATTATTATTGAGTCAGTGCGTAATGGACAAAATTCAACGAAAGAAATTTTTAGATGTATCCTACATAAAATTTATAAAATTCGAGGAAATCCATGAAGATTTTAGAGCGCTGCATCCCCTCTCGCATGTTCCACGAATTTTTACGATCCAATCAGTTTTCATGGATACACGTCTATCGATAATATTTATTTTACATGGATTTTCGCTTCGTGTAAGGTATATCTCTTAAAAAGGAAAACGAAACGCACGTCGAGTTTGCAACGATAACAATCTTATATCGTAACACGGATTTCTATTAAGGGAGGAAATCCTCCTTTCAATCTCACACACATAAGCATTGAAATCTACACGAACGTTTATGTATGTATTAAATCATCATTATTCGATATGTGATCTACAATGTCCAATAATGTTGAATTCTCGAATATAATTTTAAATTCAATGGTAATAATGATGCAGTGGTAGAATATTCTTGAAAAATATTCGTAAAATAACTGTTTTTACAATAATTGATTTTTAAAATAACTGTTCACAAATTTCGAAAAACTAAAAGACTACGATATAGTTTCGTTATGCTAAAGACATCGTGGGGTCGTCAACAATCCGAAGGCTTGTAAAAATATTCAAACTGTAAACAAAATTTTTTATCTCTATTGTTTCTACTTCAACACAGACATAACAATAATAATGTATTGATAACACTTCGTGAAGTTAAACGATCGTTTCCCAATAAATGGGTTCAACGCCCACAAAAATAACTCGTACCACTTCCAATATAACTCAATATTAATCGAATAAAATTGTCTCGATGAATTCCATCTGATATTTCCTCATGTAAGCAAACATTATCGGTTATAATTAATCGAAAGGGAAATTTTACTCATTACCTCGATTCTAAATGGTCTGTGAATATCCCTTACCATTGGAAGCACATGTATGACTTTACCGAAACAATTCACACTGTTTTTAGTGTACGCGAGTTGCCACTGTACGTAATTCTAAATATAAATGATTAAAACTGCTTTTATTGAATCCAATTCGAAATGATCATGTGTCTGACTCGATGTTATGAAGCAAGGGGTTAAAGTTTACGGGTTTGTGGGGGACCTCAATAGAAGTATCGGGCAATTTTTCTTTCTTGCTAGTTTTTGGTTCTTCGGGGTGGAAATATCCTTTAAAGATTAATGTGTGTTTCCCAAGTTCCCTCTAAATCTATAGTTTTATATCTAAAATTTATAGCTTTAATAAATATGAAAACAATTGTTACAATGAATATTTAA